ATTTGTATGCATTGAATTAATCTTATTGGACGGCTAGTTATTTATATGTTTTTGAATTGGGTTACGTTAATTTGTAAAAATTACGAATGAAATGTCATTAGTTGTATTTATGTAGTGTTGCTGTAAATATTAAAAAATTTAATTATGGTACGGAACTGAACCGACCCGAACCAAATGGAACCGAAATCGAACGGTTCCATAATTATATTTGGACCCGACGGGTCCATTTATTAAATACCTGAAAGTTTTGGGTCGATTCGGGTCTCTTCTTCAGAACCGAACCGAACCACGGACAGCCATAGTTCTACAGTTTATTAAGTGAATTGAGAAACTTGTTTTATTTTTCTAAATCTTTCATTTAGAAAGGTAGGTTTGAAGTAAAATTTTCGTATTCATCTTAATTAAAATGGCCAAAATTATTCTCTAATTTAATTGAAATCGAATTTCAGGTCTAGAAATCCTAAATCTTTGCCGTTCACGTTCCTCTTCTTCAAATTAATTTCGAAAATTGAAAAATTTTAGGACATATCACATGGTTGATAATGCCGCGTCACATGAAGCTTATCCCAATGTAGAAGACATGATAACGCATATTATTCAATCACAACTTATACAACCGACATTATCAATCACAATTTAGAATCATGGTTGACTTGGAAATGAACTCGTAGAGAAGTCACAACATTCTTCTATTTGTACGTTAATTATATCCATCCATAATCAAGTTCATTTACGTATAATGTCAACACGCTCACATTAAATATCACATTGTTACATTACATTGCATCAAAAATGTTTTCCTGTTTGTAGTGAAATCTTATCTTGCTCACTTGGAGAAAACCGTATTTACGATTTTTATATTTGGAGAGAACCGTAAGTAAAATTCTCCTACTACATCAGCAAATGGACGGTCTTATCCCGCCCACCGTGGACATGAGAACAATTTCGTACATTGCATATTATTAGATAATCTCCTTTTACATATATGGACAAGCGACACAATACAAATCACATTTTACGGGAATTGATAACAAAACGGTGGCACGTCACAATAGGTTACACGTCTTTCAACTTCTTGCGCTTTCTCGTCACAATGTAAGTTCGATTTCAGTTGGTTCTTAAATAGAATCAAGAAAACATTAGTTCTAAAACGTGACTTTCACAATCATGATACCAAAAGCAGAAACATACCAAAACTTTTTTGTAGTAACCAATTTTTCCCTAAACCCGCTTAGACGGGCCTCTTTATAGGAAAAATTTGTGTTTGCATATGAAATATAAAGTATTTCATATAATGCCATACATATTCTAAAATGTCACTCTTAATCCTTACAATTGGATTTGTTTATTGTGTTCGTTTCTGCAGAAGAAATAGATATTATACAATCAGTCTTGTAAGTTTTTTTTATTAGGACTACCTTCTCTGAATATTGCATTACAGATTGATTATATTCTCATTTTCTTAACTTATTTAAGGGAACTTTGAATCTCATAACTACAGTATATGGAAAATTCTATGGTTGACATGACATCGACAGAGATTGATATCGATATTAGTATGGACGATTTGAAAATAGATCATGATGTTTGAGGTAACATGGCATCTATTAGGATTAAGATGCCGAAGGGGTAATCAAGGCGGGAGTTAGGAACAAGCCGGACTTGGCTACGCATCTCGGCGGTGTCTCAGCCTCTATGGCGGCATCTGCAAGGCTTAATCAAAGAGTAATGAAGCTCTTCCTATCTAGTTTGTACAGTGTATTGGGTAAATCGAGTAATTTCCTCTAGACCGGACCGGACTGAAACAAAAAATGGGCGATATCCTTGGAAGTCCAATAAACTTTCTTTTCTTTTTGGAACATTTTACAAATACACTAAAAATGTTGAGGAAATTACACCCAACCCTACTTTTAAATTACATTTTTCATAAATCCCGATTCAAGTTTCATTGCAAAATTCAGGTTTTAATTATTAAATTAATTTATATATACTCCCCTACCCTATCTACCCCCAACCAAACCCTAAATCAATTAAACACATCTCCTCTCCTCTCAACCCATTTCTTCTCCTGTCTCTATAATCAACGCCGTCGCCGCTTCTTCCCTTCCTCTCCCTCACTCGTCTTCACTCTCCTCTTGTCTCTTCTGTCTGGGCTCCATCACTGGCCGACTCTGTTGTGCGATGGCGGTTTCTCAGGAGGCTCCCTTCTCCTCCTCTTTTTCCCTCTTCTCCTTTCAGGCCATTCCCATCGTCGCCTCCACCCCCCCTCTCTTTTCCCCCGAAAGAAATGGCAATCCCAGCCGCTTCCTTCGCCGCCAGATCTGAATCGCGGCGGTGGTGATTGGGTTATTTTTGTGCTGTGGTGGTTGGGTTATTTTTGTGCAGTGGTGATCTGGTATGGGGCGGTGGTGGGCTGCGCGTCATTGTCGGGATCCACACCGCTGTTGAACACTGCTGCAATCTTAGGTACGATTCTTAGCCACTGTTGGTGTGGCTGTGAGTTTGGTATTTTTCGATTCCATTTTTTTGGTGGTATTTGCGTTGTGGTGGCAGTTTGTGGTGTGATTTGG